TGTTTTAATCTTTGTTTTAAAATATCCCACCAGTAGTGTGCAGTTTTATACCAGCAATTCTTTGTTATATTTTTGTCAATAGCTTCAAATGTTTTTACGATATGATTTTCATGTGATATAATGATTTAGATTTTAGAATTACGTAAATACTTGTAAGGTATGTTTTTTACCGTATCGTATAATTTTCATTAAACAAATTAAACTACATTCCAGAAGTTTACCACATAAATATCTTTTGCAACTACTTTGCAAAGTTCACCACCAGAGGGAGCTGCCAGTTAATACCATGAGAATGAAATAATTGCTTCTTTATTCCCTTTATAACCCCAAATCATACCCCATCTTTCCTTAGCCTTGTTAACCTCCTCTCTTCACTCTTCTCAACTCTCTCGCTCTCTCTCTCACTCTCTCTGTCTCCCTCTCTCTAATGTTGGATGCAACACATTTCTCTCTTTAATGCCAGAAGTAATCGAGGTATGAACATGTTAGTTTCTTTTTTCTTATATTGTTTGGGATTGTTTGAATCTTTGTTTTAAAATACCCCACCAGTAGTGTGCTGTTTTATACCTCCAATTCTTTGTTATATTTTTGCCAATAGCTTCAAATGTTTTTACGATATGATTCTCATGTGATATAATGATTTCAATTTTACAATTACGTAAATACTTGTAAGGTATGTTTTTTACCGTATTGCATAATTCCCATTAAACTAATTAAACTACATTCCAGAAGTTTATCAAATAGATATCTTTTGCAACTACTTTGCATAGTTCACCACCAGAGAGAGTTGCTAGTCAAAAGCATGAGAATGAAATAATTGTGTCTTTCTTCCCTTTATAACCCCAAATCATACCTCATCTTTCCTTAGCCTTGTTAACCTCCTCTCTTCACTCTTCTCAACTCTCTCTCTCTCTCCCTCTCTCTATGGTTGGATTCAACACTTTTCTCTCTCTATGGCCAGAAGTAATCGTGGTATGAACATGTTAGTTTCTTTTTTTTAATATTTTTTGGTATTGTTTTAATCTTTGTTTTAAAATACCCCACCAGTAGTGTGCAGTATTATACCTCCAGTTCTTTGTCATATTTTTGTCAATAGTTTCATCTGTTTTTACGATATGATTATCCTGTGATATAACGATTTAGATTTTAGAATTACGTAAATACTTGTAAGGTATGTTTTTTGCCGTATCGCATAATTCTCATTAAATAATTAAACTACATTCCAAAAGTTTACCAAATAAATATATTTTACAACTACTTTGCATAGTTCACCACCAGAGGGAGCTGCGAGTCAAAAGCGTGAGAATGAAATAATTGTGTCTTTTTTCCCTTTATAACCCCAAATCATACCTCATCTTTCCTTAGCCTTGTTAACCTCATCTCTTCACTCTTCTCAACTCTCTCTCTCTCTCTCTCTCTCTCTCTCTCTCTCTAAGGTTGGATGCAATACTTTTCTCTCTCTAAGGCCAGAAGTAATCGAGGTATGAACATGTTAGTATCTTTTTTCTAATATTGTTTGGGACTGTTTGAATCTTTGTTTTAAAATACCCCACCAGTAGTGTGTTGTTTTATACCTCCAGTTCTTTGTTATATTTTTGTCAATAGCTTCAAATGTTTTTACGATATGATTCTCATGTGATATAATGATTTCAATTTTATAATTACGTAAATACTTGTAAGGTATGTTTTTTTTTGTATCGCATAATTCTCATTAAACTAATTAAACTACATTCCAGAAGTTTATCAAATAGATATCTTTTGCAACTACTTAGCAAAGTTCACCACAAGAGGGAGCTGCCAGTCAAAAGCATGAGAATGAAATAATTGCATCATTCTTCCCTTTATAACCCCAAATCATACCCCATCTTTCCGTAGCCTTGTTAACCTCATCTCTTCACTCTTCTCAACTCTCTCTCTCTCTCTCCGTCTCTCTAAGGTTGGACGCAACTGTTCTTTCTCTCTAAGGCTAGAAGTAATCGGGGTATGAACATGTTAGTTTCTTTTTTTTAATCTTTTTTGGGATTGTTTAAATCTTTGTTTTAAAATACCCCACCAGTAGTGTGCAGTTTTATACCTCCAGTTCTTTGTTATATTTTTGTCAATAGATTCGAATATTTTTACGATATGATTCTCATGTGATATAATGATTTAGATTTTAGAATTACGTAAATACTTGTATGGTGTGTTTTTTACCGTACCGCATAATTCTCATTAAACTAATTAAACTACATTCCAGAAGTTTACCAAATAAATATCTTTTGCAACTACTTTGCATAGTTCACCACCAGAGGGAGCTGGTTGTCAAAAGCATGAGAATGAAATAATTGTGTCTTTCTTCCCTTTATAACCCCAAATCATACATCATCTTTCCTTAGCCTTGTTAACCTCCTCTCTTCACTCTTCTCAACTCTCTCTCTCTCTAAGGTTGGATGCAACACTTTTCTCTCTCTAAGGCCAGAAGTAATCGGTGTATGAACATGTTAGTTTCTTTTTTTTTAAATATTTTTTGGTATTGTTTTAATCTTTGTTTTAAAATACCCCACCAGTAGTATGCAGTATTATACCTCCAGTTCTTTGTCATATTTTTGTCAATAGCTTCAAATGTTTTTACGATATGATTCTCATGTGATATAATGATTTAGGTTTTAGAATTACGTAAATACTTGTAAGGTATGTTTTTTACCGTATCGCATAATTCTCATTAAACTAATTAAACTACATTCCAAAAGTTTACCAAATAAATATCTTTTACAACTACTTTGCAAAGTTCACCACTAGAGGAAGCTGCCAGTCCAAAGCGTGAGAATGAAATAATTGCTTCTTTCTACCCTTCATAACCCCAAATCATACCACATCTTTCCTTAGCGTTGTTAACCTTCTCTCTTCACTCTTCTCAACCCTCTCTTTCTCTCTCTCTCTCTCTAAGGTTGGACGCAACACTTTTCTCTCTTTAAGGCCAAATGTAATCGGGGTATGAACATGTTAGTTTTTTTTTTTAATATTTTTTAGGATTGTTTTAATCCATGTTTTAAAATACCCCACCAGTACTGTGCAGTTTTATTCCTCCTGTTCTTTGTTATATTTTTGTCAATAGCTTCAAATGGTTTTACGATATGATTCTCATGTGATATAATGATTTAGATTTTAAAATGACGTAAATACTTGTAAGGTATGTTTTTTACCGTACCGCATAATTCTCATTAAACTAATTAAACTACATTCCAGAAGTTTACCAAATAAATATCTTTTGAAACTACTTTGCATAGTTCACCACCAGAGGGTGCTGCTAGTCAAAAGCATGAGAATGAAATAATTGCTTCTTTCTTCCCTTCATAACCCCAAATCATACCTCATCTTTCCTTAGCATTGTTAACCTTCTCTCTTCACTCATCTCAACCCTCTCTTTCTCTCTCTCTCTCTCTCTAAGGTTAGACGCAACACTTTTCTCTCTTTAAGGCCAAAAGTAATTGGGGTATGAACATGTTAGTTTTTTTTTTTTAATATTTTTTAGGATTTTTTTAATCCTTGTTTTAAAATACCCCACCAGTAGTGTGCTGTTTTATTCCTCCAGTTCTTTGTTATATTTTTGTCAATATCTTCAAATGTTTTTACGATATGATTCTCATGTGATATAATGATTTAGATTTTAGAATTACGTATATACTTATAATGTATGCTTTTTACCGTATTGCATAATTCTCATTAAAGTAATTAAACTACATTCCAGAAGTTTACCAAATAAATATCTTTTGCAACTACTTCGCAAAGTTCACCACCAGAGGGAGCTGCCAGTCAGTAGCGTGAGAATGAAATAATTGCTTCTTTCTTCCCTTTATAACCCCAAATCATACCCCATCTCTCCTTAGCTTGTTAACCTCCTCTCTTCACTCTTCTCAACTCTCTCTCTCTCTCTCTCTAAGGTTAGACGCAAAACTTCTCTCTCTCTAAGGCCAGAATTAATCGGGGTATGAACATGTTAGTTTCTTTTTTTTTAATATTTTTTGGGATTGTTTTAATCTTTGTTTTAAAATACCCCACCAATAGTGTGCAGTTTTATACCTCCAGTTCTTTGTTATATTTTTGTCAATAGCTTCAAATGTTTTTACGATATGATTTTCATGTGATATAATGATTTAGATTGTACAATTACGTAAATACTTGTAAGGTAAGTTTTTTACCGTATCACATAATTCCCATTAAGCTAATTAAACTACATTCCATAAGTTTAGCAAATAAATAACTTTTGCAACTACTTTGCAAAGTTCACCACCAGAGGGAGCTGCCAGTCAAAAGCATGAGAATGAAATAATTGCTTCTTTCTTTCCTTTATAACCCCAAATCATACCCCATCTTTTCTTAGCCTTGTTAACCTCATCTCTTCACTCTGCTCAACTCCCTCTCTCTCTCTCTCTCTCTCTCTCTATAAGGTTGGACGCAACACTTTTCTCTCTCTAAGGCCAAAAGTAATCTGGGTATGAACATGTTAGTTTCTTTTTCTTAATATTTTTTAGGATTGTTTTAATCTTTGTTTTAAAATACCTTACCAGTAGTGTGCAGTTTTATACCTCTAGTTCTTTGCTATATTTTTGTCAATAGCTTCAAATGTTTTTGTGATATGATTCTCATGTAATATAATGATTTGGATTTTAGAATTACGTAAATACTTGTATGGTGTGTTTTTTACCATATCGCATAATTCCCATTAAACTAGTTAAACTACATTCCAGAAGTTTACCAAGTAAATATCTTTTGCAACTACTTTGCAAAGTTCACCACAAGAGGGAGCTGCCAGTCAAAAGCATGAGAATGAAATAATTGCTTCTTTCTGCCCTTTATAACCCTATCAATCATACCCCTTCTTTCCTTAGCCTTATTAACCTCCTCTCTTCTCTCTTCTCTCTTCACTCTTCTCAACTCTCTCTCTCTCTCTCTCTCTCTCCTTCTCTCTCTGTCTCAATCTTCTCAAGATCTCAATAATGCTTAGTGTTACTTGCCCCAGAATGGCTTTGGCGAGCTGGTTAGTTTTGACTGCCGTGTTGCTGGCACAAGTATTCACAGCAATACTGTACATACTATCCAGAGTGATTATGAAGGACATAACCTTCATTTTCGCACTAAGCACTTATCGAAATGCAGTTTTTGCTCTATCAATTACCTCTCTTGCCTACTACTTTGAGAAGTTTGTTAGTTTTTAATGTTTTCATTTGCTTTTCTTTTTAATGTTTTTACTACCTGTAGCAGATGGAGCTTACTCCTAGTGTCTTCAATACTTAAATTCAATTTTCTTCATTTTTTTTTCCTTTTTTTTGGATTTGCAGATCTGGTGAAAAGAAATTTGGTTGTGCAATTTGGTTCTTGCTTTTTGCTAGTGCTGCAACCGTGTAAGCCATATATAACTTGTGGTTTTGACTATACATATAAAATAAAATATACCAAACTGTTTACGATATTTATTTGCAATCCAGGGTATCCGATTCTTCATTTTACTATTACGGTCTCTGTGATGTCACAGCCTCCTTTGTCACTAACTTATACAACTTAATTCCCATATTCACTCACCATTATTTTGTTTTCAAATTGAATATGTGCTTGCAGAACAAAGAAACTAGGCCTGCGAACCAAACAACGAAAAATAAAGACTTTTGGAGTGTTACTGTCGCTTGTTGGAGCACTTGTTGCATCCTTGTACAAGGGAAAAGAATTGTATATTGTTTACCACAACCAACACAGGGACTCTCAGACGGCCACCAACCAGAACTCCCACACCCACTGGACGTGCGGCACAATCTTGATCATTGCATCATGCTTGTCACGTGCATTATGGTTCATAGTGCAGGGACGTGGCTAGCCTCTTTAAGAAAACAAAGGATTCATGTTCATTTCATGTCTTTTGAATTCCCTTTTTTTTTTTAGCTAATTCTTATTATTAACACTTTATAAAAATTATATAAAAAAATATTATAGAGTAGTTTTAATATTATATAAGTTCTTTGTTCTCTTTCTTTCAGCGTAAACTCTTGGCGGTATTTCCTTTTAAATATACGGTAATTATGCTGCAAAGTGGTATATCATCCATGCAATCAGCAGTAATTGGCCTTTGCCTAGATAGACGTGTTGCTGCATGGAAGCTCGGCTGGAATTTAAAACTGCTCGCCATAGTTTGCTCGGTAAGCCTACAATTTCTAACTCATTTAGTGCTTAGGGATGTCAATGAGGCGAGGCAAACAGTATCCCGTCCAATTTACGTGTGAAAAAAGAATAAATAAATAAACATAAACCAGTAAAGACTCTAAAAAAAACAGAAATGTGTTTGTTGGATGCTTGTTTGGCTTATGGGAAAAGGAACCGGAAAATAGATTAGCACAAATAAATCACAAATATTAACACATATATCAGAACTTCCCAGTGTATGCAACAACCTGTAGTGCAAAATGAGCCTGATCAGGTCTATGAGTTACTCATTTCTAACTGGATACACTACAGATAGGCTAGGCCTGACCCAAGGAGGCCCGTGAAAAATTTTTGGCCTGAATCAAGTTTGGCCTAGTCCGTGCCTGATTTGGCCTAAATAAATTATATAAATTCTTTCACAAGCACATTATAGAAATTCTTTAAGAATTTCAAGCAGTGGTCATCGCTTCAATCATGACATATCCACTACATAATTATAATTGTAAGGACTCCGTATATAGTATGTAAGAAACCCAGTTTAGAACCTTTTGCTAGAAGAAGTGTACAATATAGACCCTTTTTCTGGTGGAAATTTTAATTACATTGATATCGGTATCTGGATAATGATTATCAAGATCACAACACATTTTCCTTTTCTCTTATTTTCTTTCTTTGCATTTCCTTTCATTTTTTTTTAGAAAGAAGAGATCATCGAATATATATCTCTCTCTTCCTCTCTTTCCTCATTGAATATCTCTCTCTGCATGCTCTCTCTCTCTCCTATATTCTAGATTTAAGTTTTCCCACTCCTCCTATCTCCCTTTCTCTCAAAGGTTGGATGCAACACTTCTCTCAATATAAGCCCAGAAGTAATCAGGGTATATATGAACATGTTAGTTTCTTTTTTTAATATTTTTTGGGATTGTTTTAATCTTTATTTTTTTCATATTTTCATATTTTTGAGGCTCATGGTCTTCTTTTTCTTCTTCTTCTTCTTTTTTTTTGGGTGTCAATGAAGCTCTTCTTTCCATAATATATATATATACACTATATAAAAGATAAAATATTTAATTAGCTGTTTTGACTTGTACATTTTACATAATGTTTACGGATCTAAGAGATTGTTTCTGATAAAATGGAGATATTTTTTTAAGCATTTAACAAATGTTATAAAATAAATGAGAAGAAGAAGCAAATTTAACTGATGGGGGAAAAATAGAACAATTAAGCCTTCAGAGATGTGCATCAGATGCCCAAAACCTTCAAAGATGTGCATCAGACGCCCAAAAATAATTGAAGCAGATTTAATCAAGTATAATAGATAATACGGTTAACGCGTAACTGTTTGACCCAATAATACTAAAAAATCTAATTCAAAAACTAAAAATCTTATAAGTACTACAATTAAAGACTAAAGTAACGTATCTCTTGCATTTTTCTTTAGCCATACTACAATTTAAGACTAGCAATGTATCTTACATTTCTTTTGTAATACATGTAAGATTAGTTGATATAAAAATTCTAATAGGTAATACATTAGTTTGATATAAAGTTTGATTAGTTGGTACTTTTTACGCCGTGTACTGATCCAATTCCAATTGACAAAAGCTTTATACACGTAATTGCGTCTTATAACTAATTAAATAATGGAGATTTAAAAGCTACACCTTAAAGTGGAATTAGATATAAATTTATCGTTATGATAAACTTGTAATCACTATATAGATGTATGTATAAATAATATACTTTATTAGTTGAAATTTCAAAAGAAAACACACACACAAACACACATATATATATATATATATATATATATATCAACACTTCCCATATAAATATTAACATATATATTAAAACTTCCTGGTGTGTGCAGTAACTTCAGGTGCAAAATGAGCTCGGCCAGGACTATGAGTAACTCCCCAAAGACACTATAGATAGGCTAGGCCTAACCTAAGGAGGCTTGTGAAAGGGCTTAGGCCTGGCTTAAGTTTCAACCCAGCCCATGCCCGACCTAGCCTAAGTAAATTATAGAAATTCTTCCAGAAGCGCATTATAGAAATTCTTTAAGAATTTCAACAATTGCTCATCCCTTTAGTCATGACATATTCACTGCATAATCATAAAAGTGCTTGCAAGTTGCAAGCTATGAGCTGGTGCTTTTTTTGGGTCTGAGTGGTTATTTTCCTTCTTGAGTTATTTTTTTGAGCCATAAAATATGAATGATAGATAAATTAATGTCTATTAACTTCTAGATTTTGTGTTTAAAGTTTGTGTATTTGTGCAGGGAATACTTTAAACGGCCGCAACATTTTGGTTACTTCTGTCGGTAATCTTAATCTAAAGTCCCATATATCCTTCTATGTTTAATCCAGTCAGTCTAATTTTTATGTCTTAACCGAAGCTGTTCTACTTGGTGAAGCCATCAGAGTTGGGACGGATGTTTTATGTTTCTTTCATTCACATTCGAATTCCCTCTAAATATATAACACTTCGCAAGATCCACATATCAGTAATGAAAACATTCTAATATTGTGAATTGGAATTGTATTGTACCAGTTTCGTTGGCATGATCCTCATTCTAATTGAGTTATACTCTTTTTTTCTGTGGGGTGCGAAAAAGAAAGAAGATGAAGAATAAGAGTTAACAACCCCAGTTGAGATAGGACACGCAGGAGATCTGGTCAATGCTAGATAAGTGTCTTCTATACCAGGTGAAGCCTGGTCAATGCTAGATAAGTGTCTTCTATACCAGGTGAAGCCCGTTATAATGCTGGACAAGTAATATTCTATGTTTTTAATAAGAGTAGTTATATTTGCATCTAAAAATTCATAGATGTTCTACTAATTAATACTTATCTAATAAAAGATTTGAAATTTCTAATGTGAAAACTAAAAAGAAACTCAAATTAAACTTGGTTGTTTAAAGATTATTAGAAGTAGACAGGTCCATATTGAGATATAAATTCATTTTCTGTTGTAAAAGCTAACGTAATATGAGTTCCACTGAGGTTCAGTGACTTAGTTTAACACAATTTTGGTGCAAAAACTTAGATGGAAAGCTAATTAAAATTTATATATATGTGTTCTTTCAACAAATTCTTTTTTTTTTTTCACCTATCCATAAGAACTATAGATATTTTTATGAGAAAATATGAAAGTAGCATTTAAGAATGCGCTGGAGTCAAATTGAGCAAGTTGAAAATAAATTCTTATACGTAACAGGTAAATATCGTAGATAAACATTATTTTGACACAAATAAATCACTATACTGATCACAAATGTGAAGTTTTCCATATAAATATTATCTTATATATCAGAACTTCCCGGTGTATGCAACAACCTGAGCTGCAAAATGAGCCTGACCAGTGATGAGAACATAGCCATCAAAGTCAATCCGGAAGAAAGACAATCAACCTTAAACGTCCATCAAGCCAATTGCATGGCTAACTTGCATATTCCAAGAGGCTTAGACACAATTTCCAACAAGGGACCAAGTCAAATTGCGGATAAAGAGTTGATTTTATCATAATTCTATCTTTTTATGTATAAGTTTCAATTTAAACATTTAAATTCCATCTTAGGCGTTTTTAAGGAAGAAATTAGATTCAAATTCAGATTCCTTCCCTAGGATAAGTTTTTAGGCGTTTTTTTAGGAAGGAGTTGGAGTCAAATTCAGATTCCTTACCTAAGATAAGCTTTAGGCTTGCGTTTATCTTGTTTTTAGGTTTATCTTATTTTAGGCTTCTATCTCATTAAAGATAGAATAAGACTTTTCAATTTTTAAACCTTTTCAGCTTGTTTTCAGCTATTTAAGGTTGAAAAATGAAATTAATGAGAGTTTTTGATGTTTATTCACTTTGTGAGATATTGTTCTTAGTTCTTGAAGAACTATTCCGAACTTATCAAGGTTTTCCTTGTGGCGTTCACCCTTGACTTCTCAAACGGAATTTCCATACTCGTTTGTGGCGTCTCCACCATACCAAGGTTCTTGCTTCGCTAAGCAACAGGTCGCGGTTTCCATCAATTCTTGAAGATCTTGGATCGTATCCCGTATTTGGCTACGGGTTTCATCACATCGTTGGCGGGGTTCGTATCAGTTGGTATCAGAGTTTAGGATCGTCAAGTTTTGCTATCATTTTTCTTGTTTAATTGCGTTTTTTTCTTTTCTTAGAAAAAATATATATATATATGGCCCAATTAGGGTTAGGGTTTTGAATTCGCAAAAAAAAAAAAAAAAAAAATTGCGATTGTTGCTCAGTCATTGTTGATTTCGCAATATATAAACCCTATTGCTGAATTTGAACTCAACTACGGTTTACAAAGTCAAAAAAAAAAATTCAGGAAAAGAAGCAACCTCACGAAAACTGCTATAACTTTTGATCCAGGGATCGTTACGGGACGTATAATATATCAAATCAAAGATCTTTTCGAGCCCTACAATCTTCACCCGGGCTTGCCCAGTGACCCTGGACCCTTTTTGGGGGCCAAAAAAAGCTTGTTTTCCATAGTTTCAGAGCCTTTAAAGTTTGAGTGTCAAAAAAAAAAAAAAAATTCCGTGACAATATTTAAATTCGTGTGGATTAAGTCTTGACTTGATTGACTACTTGAATTCCTTTTCTTATTGTTGGTTTAGTTTTGAAAGAACTAAAAGAAGAATACGAGAGGAAAAAGGCAGAGTGTGTGAGCTTATTAGAGGGTAAAAGCCAAAATTAACTTGAGTGAATTCGAGTGAAACATGAGTGGTTTGAATAAGTTAGTCTTCGAGAAAAGCACTCCCTTTTTTTAATCATGTCACAGGGACCGGAGAAAAACACAGGCGAAGAGATTCCACCTACTCTTATCACGAATGTGCAAATACAGGCGTTAATGGGGGAGATGAAACGGATCATGAGGGTGGAGCTCGAACACCTACATGAGAGGTTAGATAGGGTGGAAGAGGGAACACCACAGATTAAACCACCACCGAATGCTCCAAGGAAGAACATGATGCCTCGAAAGGAGGTGGAGGATAATGGAGAGTTCGAAGGGGAAAATTTAGAGGACGAGTTTGATAGA